AAATTCGATCAAATGTTGCTTCGAACTTTACTCGTGACATGTTTGAATACACTAATTACTTTAAAATCTATTATCTAAGTACAATCTAGTTATCTATGTAAAAATTATCAGAATGACAAAGATAATTGATGGCCAGAAGTTTGGCTGCCTCTCGGCAGTTTCTTGAAGAAAATGGATGTGTGCAAAAGTTCAGATCGATATCACAAAAACTGAAGGACTAGTTCACCTAAATACAGACAAAAGGACAGACTCACATGACTAAATCGACTTAGCTCGCCACGATGATTCTTTATATATATACTTTATAGCGTCTCCGAAGTTTATTTCTCAGTGTTACAAACTTCGTGACAAACTATACCCTGTTCAGAATATAAAAACTAAAATTTCATAATTTTGAAGTATTTGAATTGCTGTAAACCTATGAATGTCCTATATGCCCCAAGCTTCGCTCAAGTGGTACAAATTAAAATACTTACTTCAAGTTTTAATGGAAGAGGAATATATTTGTAATATATGTATACATAAGTACTATAATCGTTAAGCGATGCCTTTAATACTGATGATGAGCAGATATTTATATCATAAGGCTATTAACCCCACACTGGATAGATGGGACGACGATAGAAACCACCGCCATATCCTCCTCCATATCCACCATATCCTCCATACCCTCCATAGCCGTGATAGCCGCCATAACCCCAACGCCCGCCGTAACCATAACCGCCATAGCCGCCATAACCTAAACCATGACCATATCCACCACCAATCGCTCCCGGATAGTAGCCAAAGCCAAAGGTTTCCGATCCCTTTAAATCCGCATCTGCCTCGGCGGACGCCACGGCAACTGCACCGGCGCCATCGCCAGTGGTTAGCTAATTTAAATAATTTATATTTATATTAGAGAATAATGTTCTCGGAACGAATATATGGAAACACAACGTACCGCATCTGCGCTTGCCAACGCAGTTGCCTTGGCAGCTTGAGGATATCCATTAACGCTTTTATATTGGCCAACAAGCAAGAGGATGCCAACAGTCAAAAGGTACTTTATGCGAAAAATATAAAATTTTATTAGACGTCTTGTTATTGTTGATACATTTATGTGTTCGTTTACCTTCCCGGTGTTAATCCCCATATTTTAACTAAGTGTTTACACTATTAATTACCACCAAATTCATAAATTAATTAACGCCTTTTAAACGTTGAACTTTGAGTAGCGTTAGCGTTCAGAATTCGTTAAGAAGTGATTTGTTTACTCCTAAATTGCAATCGGAACTGATCTGGGTGCACAAGTTGACGCATCTTTTATAGTGAAATCGACGTATCGCAATGCACGAGGATCAGAAATCGAAATTGTATAAAAAGCTGGCTTTTAGATTTTATGATATTTTATTTTTCATTTGA